CAAATGCTTGCGATTGCTTACTAATATCATTGTTTAACGTATTCTACCTGAAGATATAGTCAATGTAATGCTATATTCACGCATTAAAAAAATATCCGAGATAAATTGAGGTACTGTAACGTCATCTACGAGAATTTGTCACGGCTGTTTCTCTATTTACCATGTACACCTTGAAAGGATTAATGTCGTATATATGACGCTGTAGCCACCTAATATATGCTTGTATGTGCTTATGGACAGAGCGCTATCTATGGACATTAACTTTTTCAGTTTATACAACAGTAAAAAGAAAAACGGCTATAACAAATTTTCATAGATGACGCTATGGTCTCTCACTTTATCTCGGATAATTTTTTAGACGCGGGAATATAGTATTAGGTTGGCTATATTTAGAGTCTATGAAGAGTGAATTCTTGTTCAGCCGGGCGCCTCAGATTTTTCAAAAATATCAACTCTTATTATTAGCCCGTATTATTTCCCGTGTGTATGTCTAAGTGTATACAAAATTTTATTCAAACAAAATCATTTTAACTGGGTTGTATTTTCTTACGACTGGGTAAGCGTTTATTACAAGAACTTTGTCAGGTCAATATCGAGACATTTACCTCTCGCGAGCAATCATAAAATGTTAAACGCAAATGATCTCAGCAGGCAAACACCTCATTCCCTGCTATGCACATAAAGGCTATCTACGGTATTTTTTTCATCCACAAAGACAAGGCTATCGCTAGCTCTTGAAGCATCAAAATTTCCGTCTGCAATAGCTATTTTATAAGAGGGTTATCTCAAAAATAAGGTTCCCACATTTTTTCAGGCACAAGGTTTTTTTTACATACCTATTCGAAATGCTGAATTTACCATTGGAAACGTTGGCCTTTAAGCTATTTTTGTATATAGTCGCCATTTTTTTCTACGCATTTTTTTACGTGGAATCCGCTTTTTCACTCCCACCTGAATGCAAATCTTCGCCCGTCTCGAACCATTGACCGCCTAGGTGCTCCTTCAATTTTGGAAACGCTGTCAGGACTGTAAGGGGGATGGGCAATGGAGGGTTTGCCAATACGACGATTTTGGATTACCCGTCCCAGCTTTTTCAGAAGCCTCGGAAATTTCAACCGCCTGTTCTCGGATCGTGATTCACCGATCTTCGAGCAAGATATGCTCAATATTCGCCATAACTTCCTCGGAGATCGACGGCCTCCCTGCTTCGTTGTTCATCGTGGATGTCCATGCGACCGTCAAAGAACTCCCTTCACCATTTGAGGACATGTTGAATGCTTTTATACACGTTTCCCTTATACTTCACTCAACTGGCGAAGAATTTCTATGGATGGTAAGGTTTTTGCGTGCAAAAATCGAATGGCCACACGAATTTCGCACCTGGCGGTGACGGCGATGAAAGGCTCTATTGCGCATGGCTGACAGGCCGGTTATGAGCGTCGCCAATGGGCGCTTCTTGTTGGGATCGGTGGTGGGGGACCCAACAAACACGATGGTGTTGCCAGATTTCGCCTAGCATCACGCGCGGCAGTCACAGCGTTGGAAACCGTATTTTGAGACAACCCACATATTATTAGGGTGCTGATAGACGTAAAAATACAAAACAGAGGTCCACTCAATGGATTTTTTGAGGTTTTTAGTTGAATACTGTATGTTGAAAAGTTGACCTATTCACTTTGCGCCTTTTTTGATTTTCATTTGATTTTGATTGTGTTTAAAATATCATTTTTTATTTATACGATTATTTTCAGGTATACACGGTGTAAAGTTATGGGTGGATCAAGGGAATTCGGATGATAGAGGGCTTCAGCACCCTATTTCATGAGATATTTGCAATTTTGAGAGATTAAAAAAAACCGAATTATAAACTTTCAAGCTCAAGTACATTTTAACTATCAGGTGTGTGGCTCATTTTGTTCGGGTATGGGATAAATCAATTATATCATTTTGTAACGGAGCTAAAAATTAATGCAAAAACTTTTGAATTCATGTACCTTTCCTGGGCGTTGAATAGGTAGAGGTGTACCCATACTATAGCCTCCAAGGTCACCAGATTTATATCCTCTAGATTTTTCATATGCAGGGTTATGCATTTTCAGTATCTACCAACTGCGCCAGAAAATTACTGGAGCAAAAATGAAAATTATGGAAAACGAAGACTCATTTCAGAGACTAAAAGGAAATTTGATTAAAAAGTGTCGCTTGTGTATAGAAAATAATGCAGGCCATGAAATGTTTTTATGTCTACCGCATCACAATGACGAATGTGACATGAGAAACTTATCGTAGCATGATAAAATATTCAAGGCTGATTCTAAATGGATTGCAATAGTCTTTACAATAGAATGCATAATAAAAGACAAACTCATTTTTTCAGACCGCCCTTCAAAGTTAAAGGATAGAAGATATTTTCCTCAAAAAATACAGTATTTTAAGCGCACTCCAAAAAACCATTCAGCGGGTCCGAGTTGCAAGGTTCAAACCTAAAAACACTCCACTATGTTGAAAGCGCAAGGTACTGGTTTGCCGGTGGAGGAACAAGTTTGACGCGCGACGCGAAGCGGAAGGTTAAATGTCGCCAGCTCTTGTGATATTGGTATTTAAAGTATTTTCTTACATTTCGATTATTTTAAAAATTACGGTTTTCTTAACCCAAGTCGGCACACGAATGATTCCAAATATTCGGTGCAGTCCAGCCACTATGGCTACTTTCAAACCCCGACGTTGTCTTCTAGGATGGGGCATATCAAGGCTCTTCTTACTTATAAATGTCGATATGTGCTTGTCTCCGATCTCGTGGTAATTATACCAACAGTATTCGACGACGCCATTGACACTAACCATAAAATAAAAAACTGTAGGATATATACCTCCTAAACTAAAACAATGGTGTCAAGGAGATTGATTCAGTATTTCTCACACTTCAATGTAACATCTAAAAGCCATCCTGTCGTTTTCATGTCGATAATCGTCCATGTTTGTATAGCTAACCAAACCACATTTCGACGGCTCCAACGAAAACTGTAGTAACTCAAATTTTTCAAGTTTTGAGATAATACTGTCAAACCATATATTTATAGTTTATCTAGCTAGGAATAATATTTATTTTAATTATTTATAATTATTTAATAATTATTACAGTGTCCCAAATGAATCTATATTGATTACTCGATCAACAAAGTATCAAAACTTTTACTTAAGACGCCAATTTATCACAGTTGCTTGAACTTTTAAAGACGATTTACTTAAAACTGTGTATTTTGAGTTGCAACAGTTTTCATTGGACCCATCGATTTCTTTAAAATTCTTCTTCATTGTATACGTCCCAACAGTGACCTTCTTCAGTACAATTGACACTTTTTTGACAAAATAGTCATTTGTCTTGCAACACTCTGAGGTTGCGTGAAGCCATCATTGCAAGTTTTATGGCACCACGCAAAACCAGCACAGCTCAGGACGGCCTAGAGCAGGCATTACCGCTCCGAAGCTCGTCCAGCCTCCCAAAACGACAAGCGACCAAAAAGTTATGTCTCGTTTTTTAATTTACCAGATACGTCACCTTCGTTCAACCTTCCGAAATCACCAAAAGCCCTTAAAAAAAATGGCGTCAAGAAGATGGAGAAAAAAGTTACGTACAAGAGATATTAAACACATCAAACAGGTAGATACAATTAGTCCGTAGACATTCTTTGTCTGCTCTACCGATGGCTACTGTTCATCTGACAACGTTGTCCCGTTCTACATCCGCTCGGTATCGCTGCAGCTAGTTCTTTCGTTTGGTGAGGGCCCATGTATATGTGTTTTCACTTCAGTACAGATAGATGTCAGCCGGACCGGTTCGCGAAGCGCAGAGCATAAATAGCAGGAGTACGCGGATCGAAAACATTTCTCATCAGACAAATGTACGGGTAAATCTGTGATCTGTGAAATATGGCTAATAGGTGCATTGCATAGAATTACCGAGGTCGGGAGCGTATAAACGTACTAACATCAAAAAATATTCGCCCAGTGGGATACGAACAAAATACGAAAGCTCACCCAAAACTGTTGTAACACACCGGTTAATTGTTATGCAATCTTAGACTAAAATGTATAAAATGCATTGCTTATGGATCTGGAACGTGAGACATTTAAAGGGAACCATGTTGTTTGTCATGTGAGAAAATAATGTGTCATAACAGTTTGGCCTTGAGATGTCGAAGTAAAGCATCTACGCGTTTGTGGTCGAATAACAAACCATGAGAAAAACCTGAATGAAAAGCTCGTGGTCCATTACGTTGGAGAATATTAATTAGAAATTAGGTCACAGTCCATAGAAGAACTAGAATGACAATTGTTGTTTGATATTATATGGGCTAATAACTTTACCTTCCTCTTCTAATTGTTATCCTCATTGTGTAGTATTGGGACTTAGTTCGATTTCACTTTATATATTGTTTCTTACACATGTTCGCTTAGTGCTAGTTGTGCGGTTTCTCCCTTTGTTATAAAGCCTTTTTGTTATTCAACTCTACACAGGTCTTGATGTTTCACCGATGTAGCAAAACACAGTAAAATAAGAGGTAGTCTCAATATTGCACAAGTAGGATGACAAGTCCAAAAGGAAGGTAAAGGAATCAGCCTGTATAAAATTTAACAACAATTGTCTTTCTAGTACTGTGGACTGCGACCCAATTTGAATAAAAAATCTAATTGGTATTCTCCGATCTAACTAGTGGACCATGGGGTTTTATCCAGGTTTTTTTTCTCATAGAATGTTGTTGGATCTCAAACGCGCAGATGTTTTACTTTGCCATCTCAAGGCCACACTGTTGTGTTACATTATTTTCTCACAGGGCAAACAAGATGGTTTCCTGTAAATGTTGAAGTATCATTTCTTCTCAGATCCATCAACAATGCATATTCAACACTTTAGTCGAAAATTGCATAACAATAAACCGGCGGGTTACGACAACAGTTCAGGGTGGGTTTTCGTATTTTTAGAACGGCTTTTGGCGTTTTCGGAACAATGGACGAGGGTAACGTATCAGGTACATTAAAAAACGCCAGATAACCTCACGCTCACTTGTCAGTTTTGAGGGCTGGACGTCTCTTTGGGAGCGGGAATGCCTACCCCTGGTGGTCCTGGGCCATGCTGGCTCTACGCGGTGCCATTTTAAAGTTTAAAATGATACCTTCGCGCAATCTCAGCATGCTGCAGGAGCTTTCAGACTAATGTAGTAACACAGTATAGGAATGTGAAAATGAAACGAAAAAACAAAGGAAGTGTCACCTGGAACAAAGATAAATAAAATATGTTGTCAAAAAAGTGTCAATTGTACTTAAGAACACAATATACTGTAAAGAAGAATTTATCACCACATAACATGTGGTTTGATGGGCCAGACAAACATGGGGGATTTTTAAGCGTTCATACTATCGGGTATGGAATGAACACTTCGGTTTTATTTTCTAGAAAACAGAAGTAGAATCGAGAACTTTCTATGGTGAGAGTGATACAGGGTGTCCTCAAAGTTGGGACTTTACAGAGTGTGTAGGTCAGGCAATAACAAGTAAATTTTCCCAAACACTATTCGTAGTCCATTTATGCCCCGGCACAACAAAGATGCAGCGCGACAAAGCAGCAGCAGCCTAAGCGTTGCAATAGCTATTGGTCATTCGGCCATAAAACTACGAAGTGACAAACTGAGAATATTTCACCCAATGCTTCCTTCAGCCATGCTTTCTCTTCAGTGATGTATCCTCCCAGAAAACGTGACAAGAAGGGACATTTGAATATTCAGGCAAAAAAAATTGTCCTTAACGTTTATAAGAGCATCCTGAAATGAAAATTCATGATATTGAAAGACGTGTGGCGAACAAAACAGGGTTATGTCCTAAGACAATGTTCAACATTGTTAAAGAATATAAAAAAAAACAAAAAAATGTCAGCACCATACAACAGGCTGCATTATACGAAGCTGTTGGATACAGTTGACAAGTTTGATCGGAATGCCATCAGACGCAAAGTCCGTCAATTTTTTGAAATGCAGGAAGTTCCCACCATAGAAAAATTATTACAGGAGGTTAATAGTCTTACCTTCTTTCAAAAGGACCACATTCTATAGTTTACTCAAAGAACTTCATTTTGAGTATAGAAAACCTGGCAGACATCTAGTATTTTAATGGACAACCAAGAGATTATTTTACGGAGAAGAAATTATTTGAAATCAATTAAGAAATGCCGCGATCAGGACAGGAAGATTTATTACGTGGATGAAACCTGGATAAATGCAGAACATACAAAACCTAAAGTATGGGTTGACTCTACAATTAAATCAGCAAGACAAGCCTTCTTAGATGGACTAACCACTGGCCTAAAGAATCCATCAGGTGCGTGTATCTAACCAATTCGTCATTTGTGTTGTAAAAATTGTGTCAAGTAGACTGAATCTATGAGCCCACGCTGAAAACTACACCACACTAAACTTAGCTATATCTGGTAGATTTAAAACCAACACCTGTTAGATACTCTGCTTGTATTATTATTATCAGTTTTCTTGAATAGTATACGAAATAATTATTTCCAGAAAAAGGAAAACGATTTGTTATATGTCACATTGGCAGTGGAAATGGCTTTGTGCCCGCTGCTCTATAGGCATTTAAGTCAAAGAAAACGACCGACTACAATGAAGAAATGGACGGGAGTTCATTTGAACGATGATTTGAAGAAACGCTCCCAAAGCTTGACGACAATGCCGACATTGTACTTGATAATGCTGCATACCACGCTAGAACACTAGAAAAAATTCCCTCAATGTCCACAAGAAAGGAAGAAATTCAACAGTAGCTCCTATCAAAAGACATTAATTTCAATGAGAATATGGTCAAAGCAGAACTTATATATCTAGTCAGGCAGCACAAATATAAATATAATCTTACTGTTATTGACGAAATCGCTAAAAACCAAAATAAGACCGTTTTAAGGCTGCCCCCTCATCACTGCGAATTAAATACCATTGAAATGATTTGGGCAAATACAAAAAAATATGTGGGTTCAAACAATAGAACATTCAAATTTTCTGACGTGAAAAATTTGTTTTATGAAGCTGTCAACAGAGTGATGGAAAACCATTGGAAAGATTGTATCCGTCACGTTCAAGAGACAATCGAAAGAAAGATGTGTGATCGATATTCAAATTGAACCTGTAATAATTAATATTAACCATTCGGAAGATGATTCAAGTACTTCCAGCGAATAAAGAGTTATAAAAAGTATGAGCACTTTTTTCTATAAAAATAATAGTTTATTTTGTTAGATTGTTCCGAGACCATTGAGTAAAATATGGACCTGTACAATCTCGCTTTTGGGCATGATGTGTTTTGTCTGGGCGTAAATGGACCACGAATGGGATATAGTAACACATATACCAAAGCCCTAAGATATCAAGTTCTGAATAACTCCAAATGGGCTAACCCGGCCCTGCCTCCCTCCCCTCCTCCTCTCCCCCCGTGGAAGGATAATATTTTGTGGCTCTATGTGAGCCAGTATCCAAATCAGGTGCCCCGCGTTGTGAAGGATAACCTAGTTTATAAAAAAGTCGCATCTGAAAAACCGAAATTGGCACATCCCTAGAACAATAACGTAGTTATCAATTTGATGTTGGTTTACTGTGAAAGTCTTCAAGATCATATTGATACTCCGCGAATGTATTCAAAACGTTGTCCTCGATGTTTACATCACTGCTGCATAGTTTATACCGTGCAAAAGACATCTGGGTGGATGCAGTATAAGACCTAGACAGCCCAAAATGTTGCAAATTTAAGAAGGGGTAAACAACTCGTGTTTTTGAATCGAACAGCGACAACTTCAAGTAGTGTTTACAAACAAAACATGTGACAGGGCACTACTTGAAATTCGTTACGTTTTACTCTTTCGGTGCTGTTTTACCGCAAATTAGCTTTGTTGTTTCGAACCTAGTTGTTTCTGGACACAATGTATACTAGCAGACAACAAAAAATAAAAGAAACATAAAGTACTCAGTACTAAGAACAATTTCATCATAAACATGGAGGTCACGGCCGCCCTTGAAATCAGGTTGGACCTTATTTGCATATTTAGCACGATTTTGTTTACAATTTTGATGATTTTTAGGATCCCCCCCCCCACTGGGAAAATTTGCTACCACCTACCAAAGTTATCTCTTGCCAATGATCGCCGCCCGCGCTGAGAAAAATTCCTGCGGGCATCTATGATCACAAATAAAATTGTATAAGGTTCAGTTAATTGAGCGCAGATCACCCACTTTTTTCTAAACAGAATGTATGGATGTACTTACATTTCTTCGCTGCCCTTGTAAGTCTGTGGCGGTTTTTGAAATATGATTTTCTCTCGGGCCGGGAGACCCTGGGGCGTTGTGGTCGTTGTGTCCCCAAAACCAAGGTGCGACCTCTTCGGCTTACGGACACAACCGGAATCCCTCCCAGGGGGAGACACGCGCAGAATCTGAGGCGGAATTACGGCTGCCCAATCTATGGACGCCAGTTCGTGTGGCAAGCTTTGCCCAGTCCGAGGGACGCGCCTTCGGACGCGTGTTCGCCTTGGCGCTGTCGTGTGTACACGTGAGACTGGAGATGCATCCCCGTGAGAGTTGTCGCTACTACCTTCATTGCTTGATGATTGCCGTTTTGATCCTCGATTTTTGCGGTTTCGCTTCATGTTTAACCTTGATAAAGAATAAAACAAACCTTTAGTCGTGCGTTAAAAATGCATTGCACTTAAGGTCCCTGAATCAAAAAGTTCAATGCACGTCAACAATAACAGTCAAGTACAGGGTAGGGGTCAGAAATTACGTTAAGAGTCGTTATTTTGATTTTTTATTGACATAATTAAGTACAAAAGTATGTTTACAAATATAAATCGTTAGTAAGTAAATCACGTTAGCCACCACCATAGTCCAGGTCATTATTTATTAAACAGCATTATATCAATGTAATATTGTATCTGTCAAGTTGCTATCATCTTACGGAAATAATTTAAAAGAATAATGTTTATCCATTGTTCCCACTTTTTGGCCAAAAAACTACTATACTACTACTAATAAATTATTGTTCCACCTTTGCCAGTTTGTGTAATATAATAAAATACCTTTTCATAATATAGTAAAAATAATTCTAAAATTATTAATACTACCTCAACTTCGACGGCACTTCATGTTTTTATATTTGAATTCAGCGCCCCAAATTACCCAGTGGTATCAAATTTTATTCGCTTGCATTAAAAATGGGAATTTTGCCTACAAATTACGGGTATACCACAATCGCAACCAGTGACCACTACCCGATTTTAGCTTAGGGCCGTATCATCAGTCGTCCCTACAATTTTAGGATGCCTCTATGGCCTCTTTGATTTTCATAGATATCTACTGTTCCGTGCGCTCTATTGTAAGCAAATATCTATTTGCATCAAATTAATCATGCTTTTGATTTATACTGTCCGTTTTAACAGCCTTAAATTTCCTGCAATTTACCGAGAAAACATAAATTCACAAAAGGAGAGCGCTGACGCTGACAAGGAACAGTAGAAATCTAAAAATACCCCAGACTTTCTGAAGGAGAGAAAACTATGAAAATCAAGAAGGCCATAAAGGCGTCCTTCAGTTGCAGGAGCGACTGACGATACGGCCTTTAGTAACAGCTGCCTCACAGCCTGCTCCAAAATGTTCACGGACGATAAAGAAATTTAACTTTAAGAGATTTTTTCGCGAGATCCCGTAGTGAACCAGAGCGGGAACAGATGGAATTTCCCCTTCCTCTCGAAGTTTTGACAGTTTCAAGTTACACCGGGCGTGGTTAGATGGCGCAAGTTGCGTAAAATGTTTGCTTTAAGCTCCTTGATAAACTTAGCAGCCTTGTTTGAATCTGAAATAAAAAGATCGATCGTTTTATGTGCAATGTACATATACATATATCAATAAAATCAATCATCTGATATGACAAGTGCGGTTCATATATCTTCGATGACCTTCTCCCTCGTCATTTAGAATCAGGTGGACGTGTTCCTCCATTTATGATTTAATAATTTAACTCAATTTTCGGTACTGTGAAGACAAATTTTCAATTGAGATGCCTGTTTTTTAAATGAAATTGACATAAGACCTGTGATCCGCTAGTACCTCACAGGCATTAGGCGGGTACCCTTACCACGTGATTTTTTGACATTCGGAATACGTCAGAGCCGTCTTCCCCTATTCCCCTTCTTCGCGAAAATTTGAGTATCGGTTCCCGGTAGTGCACTGTGCTACACCGTGGATTCGCGAAAAAATCCTTTTAGCCAACTATATAAGCCAAATAGCGCCACCTATGAGACACTAGCCTTTTCAAAGCAGGATGGCGAAGAGGGGAAACATAGTTCTGGCAAATTCTTAGAGATGGTGCGAGGGTACCTCATTTCATCTCTGACAATTTTCCAAACACCGAAGTACAATACAAATTGAAATAAACGGCGTTTTTACGGCGATTTTACCACACTAACTGGCAACGTTGGAAGTTAATATAGGTTTTCAAAGTTCCTTTTGTCCTTAAATCTTTGTTTCATAGGTGTTATGGTTAAATAAACTCTTTCAACCAAAATTGAAACTATTTGATACACAGAGAGATAAATTAGCATTAAACACCATTTCTAATCTTAATTGTCTGACAAGTTATTCAAATATGTCGATATACCATATACACTGAAAACCAAATACCACTGTGTACGAGAGAGAAGTGCGATATGTATGTTAGAGAGAGTGCGCCGATTGCTTCCGTGGCCTCGTCACTCGGGTTGCTAGGCACCGAGGTGCTTCTATCTCTTTCTAACATAGATATCGTACGCTTCTCTCTAGTACACATTACGACGTCAGCTAAATTTGAATCTCACCGTATACCATTTATAATCCTAATTGAAACAAAAACCTGGGCAGTCTATGAATAGATGGTACGACAGAGCTAAACACCCGCTGAGCTGTACCTTCCAGATTTTGCATTAAAATCAGAGCCTTTTGAGGATTTTTCCAATGAGAAATACATAAAGACTATGTAACATAAGATTGTAAGAAGCACTCAATCAAATTAACATAATTCGATTTTAAAAACTCACCAACTTCTGATAACTCCTTTGTCCTGAAAAAAAAAAATCAAACATCTGATTTCCTTTATTCTAACTCATATTCAACGCAAAGCTCTAAAAATTATGACTTCAACAAATTACAATTTTATTATAAAATAATGCCTATTGCCTTTTTACAAAGTGTGGTGATGGTAACACTTTCTAGCTATACCATTAGATATAATTGTTAGTGGTAAATTGCAATTAGCTGTAACTGCCAATTACAAATCGCAATTATCTATACAGGGAGTATTCCATTTCAATTGTCTCAATATTTCGAAAACTACACCTCCTAGAAAAAAGTTTCAAACCAAAGTTGTTGGGTTTTGAGGGGCAAATGACGATGATCTTGGCCTTGACATTGACCACGGTTTTCAAGATCATTTCAAGGTCAAGTGAATATTTTCAAATGCAACCCCCTTTTTTGCACCGCACCGCACAATAATAGGTCGTCCGCGAATGCGCACTTTTACACATTTATTCGCCTCATTTTGTAGAAACCGACATGTACTTTTTTAATTTTGCTTTTGACGGCCTTTATTGCATCATCCATAATCATAATGAATAATATCGGGCTCAGGACTCCGCCCTCGCACTGTCTCAGCCCATCTCCTATGATAAATCCCTCTGACGTCATGTTATCCTTTCTAACATAGCATGTATTTTGGTCGTATATGCTTTGTATACACTCTGTTAGGTGGTTATGTACTCCTCGTTTTGCCATGCTGTCCCTCACAATTCTTCTTGGAATATTGTCTAACGCTTTTTCCAGGTCTAAGAAAGCTAGGCTTAGTTCCGTGTTCATTGTATTACATTTTTCGATTAGCTGTTTTATTGTAAATATATGGTCCTGTATGCTATGTCCTATTCTGAACCCACTCTGCGCCTCGTCTAGATCGTTCTCGACGTGTGCTCTCACTCTTTTCTCACCATTGTAAGTTTTGTCGGTCCTCTTCCCTAAGTATGCTTTCCATTTAATCTTTTTTATTTTCACTTGTTCCTTAATTTTGGCGTTCCACCAACTTGTTAGCTTTTTGTTTCTATTCATTGAAGCGGATCCGCACGTATCTTCGGCCGCTGTTATTATAATTTCTTTAAAGAGTGCCCATAACCTGTGGACGTCCGAATTTCCCCAACTTCGCTTTAGCTGTGCAAATTTTTCTGCAGTCATGTCTCTATATTTTTCTGCCACATCTTTGTTCAACAGCCTATATCATTTAATTCTCTTAGTGTAGGTATATGGAGTTCTGAAATGCATGTGTTGTATTCTGCCTATGTTCATTTCGTAGTCTTAGTTTGGCTTCTACTAGGTAGTGGTTGATAAATATTTCAGGCCCCCTTCTAACTCTGACATTCAGTATATCTTTTCTGTATGTCCTGTTTATCAATACATAGTCAATGATAGACTTTTCATTTCTGCTTTCGACCTCTCTGGTAATTTTGTGTATGTTCCTATGTGAAAAAAAGGTTTTGGCTACTATGAGGCTGTTCTCAACGCAAGTCTATCAATCTACGCATCTTTGTACCAGTACTAATAAATGTTTTCTTTCCCTTTCTATAATTACGCTGTATGGTTACAGTCAGCTTCATTCTAAGCGAAATGTGTCTGTGATAGCTTATTGATTAGGTTATTTGCTTCAAAATAAATAATAAATGTATAATAATTTGTGCATTCCTGATGTATATAAGACAATCATGGGATTAGGATTATAAATTCATTTACAGGAACAGGAATATCACAAAATGCAGGCTGTTCGAGCAAACAAAATCCAACTTCATTACCTCACCGACCAGCAACAGTTAGTTGATTCTTGAATGACTATGAATAATAATAATAAAAAGCGTCTCTATTCTCCAAACATCAACAAATAAACTTACACTTATATTAAAGAAAAGGGAGTTTGGTGAAGGGCAAAGTTCAGATGTGTTCTTCCACTTAACCCTGTTGAATGACTTCAGGGATAATTTCTTACAAGTTTTCATCTACTTGCCAAAAAGTTAAGAGAGGACCTTTCTGGTACATAAATTTACAAAACAAATAAGGATCTTTCAGTCAGTCTGGGCTAAGTGGACGAGCAGCTTGTTGGTACTTCATACCAAGCAAGCTGAACTTCGCCCCCTATCAAATTAAATTTTTCTTTATTCACCACTTTGTCAATGTATGCCAATAATAAAGATAATATATCATTATTATCAATCATTATACTAGGTAGACCTGCTGCCAACCTGAGATCCTGCTTTCAAGTCTATAGAGAAATTCCAGCCAGAGATGTGAAAACACCTAACTACCACAAACCACAAGATGCACAGAACCACAATAACATTGCCGAAAGTGATTTACATTCCCAATGATACTTGAGTTATGTGATATAAAAGGAAACATATTATAAGCTGGAGTAATGGAAAAGGTGAGCTATCTAAAGTTTATATTCTATTAACCAACAAAATATGTCTCACTCTTTTATGAATAATAACACTTGAAACAGGCAAAGCGGTAGCCTGATTGGATATCGGGTGCTAAATGTTCACTACATCTACTAAAAAATATACCTTTTGGAAAATGGATCACCAGCACTGACGTCCAACTTCAAAACCGGAGACTACAAGGGATAAAACGCATAATAAAAAGGAAAGACAGAAAGGGAAAAGAGAGCAAAGACACATAAAGAGATAGATGAAATGGTAATTTCTAAGATTTTTAGTAACCCTCTTTGCAGAAACTATATATCTAATACAAGTGTTTGCAAAACTAAATACTGAACATAATTTATGAAGCCAAAACTTCCTTATTAGTACTGGTAGGTAAATGCTGCAAGTAACAAATGAAAACCCACAATGTGCTCATAGACTTAACATATAAAAATCATTGTATGCAAAAATGGACTCAACCTAGCCTGGCTCTGAGCTACAGATATAATATATTTGGGCTACAGGGACCTATTTAAGCTATTTTTGTATTTTCTTACCCAATTTTCTAAGAGCCGGAGTGAAACCGAAATGGATTCATCAATTTAATTTTAACATTTCAAATATTTGTATCACAGAACATAAAACTCATAAAACAATAAGTTCAATAATGACAGCTTACGTCAAAAAATATATACCCGAAATATACATTTTTATATTTTCTCTATGAACTAACGGCTAAATTTACAAAGAAACTCTTCAGGCCCTTATCAATTTAATTTTAACATTTCAAATATTTGTATCACAGAACATACAAGCCACAAAACAATAAGTTCAATAATGACAGTTTATGTCAAATAATATAGAATGGAGATATACAGTTTTCTATTTTGCACTATAAGCCTTGACCGAGTTCCACTGAGTTTTTATGAATAATAACACTTGAAATGGGCAAACTGGTAGCCTGATTAGGTATCGGATGCTAAGTTTTCACTAAGTCTACTAAAAAATATATTATTTAGCATAATTTCAACGTTTTTCTTACTTTTCTTTGTAAAAGCCATCACCAGCACTAACGTCCAGCTTCAAAACTGGAGAGGAACAGGCATAAAACACATGCCTAATGACAAAAAAGACAGAAAGGGAAAAGAGAGCAAAGACACAAGAAGAGATGAAAGGGGGAAGTAGAGAAGGTAGAAAAAAATACAGTGATCCCACTGTGGTCAGATCATTCTTTTATCTTAACTATTCGATACTTTCGGAATTCATGGCGAGTAAAACCATTGCTTAGTGTGAAGTTTTATTCAAATTTGCCACCAAATTCGACAGAATTACCAATCAATAAAGAATGAATGGTCACATGCTTTCGATGTTTGAAGTCATCCCTTGGAATGCAAAAACCTGGGTTCAAATACCAGTAAAAACACCCATCATCTTTGCAATGGAAATTCCGCAGTTGCTGTGAGAAAATATCGAAGACGATTTCCTGACCCAATTACGCAAAATGTTAGGAGTTTTGTCTTTACATACCTGAGACTAGCGAAAAATGGGATTCAAAGGCCAGTAAATAACCGTTATCGGCTACTGTCTCCATAAGATGAAGAAGAGATCCTCAACATGATTACCCAAAATCCGAGAGAGTGTGAGGGGAGGATCGCTGCAAGACTACACTTGTCACATTGGTCGGCTTGGAGAGTCCTTAAGACTGAAGGTTTACATCCCTATCATTTTAGAAGAGTTCAGGATCTTCACGAGCCAGATTATGCTGCAAGAATCATAGTTTGCACCTGGTTTCAACGGCAGCTGCGTCAAGACTGCAACTTTTGGGAAACAATTCTCAGGACGGACGAAGCAAAATTTACGAGGCAGAGGATCATAAACCATAGAATCGACCACTTGTGGTCTTCGGAAAACCCTCATACAGTTCGACCGAGCACTTTCCAACAGGAGACGGAGTCTCAATCGGCCCAGTTGAGCTATCTCCAAGGTTAGATGCCCAGGGATTTTTGGATTTCTTGAGGACCGAGCTTGCAGATCTACTCCGTGATCTGTCATTATCAACCGCCGCAACACGAGGTTGCAGCATGACGGAGCTCCCGTAACTTTGCGCGAATTGTACGAGAACATTTGGATGGGCAACATTCCCCATGGACAGGTCGTGGAAGTCCTGTCGCTTGGCCACCCGATCACCCGATTTAATGCCCCTAGATAATTTTTTCTGGGGCGCAATGAAGCAAAAAATTTACTGTCATGTGTCGGCGACATGGAAAGAGCTCGTGGAAAGGATCCATACCGCTGCGAACGGAATTAGAGCTGACACGGATATAGTCCGCCGCTCAACACGACACATGGTTTTAAGAGCAACAATGTGCATAACCAATAATGGAGGACATTTTGAACAGCTTCTGTTACATTAAACATGTCCAAACTCTTCATGAGAAAAATTGATTTGTCATTTTTACGTATAAAAAGTTTTAAAGCAATTTGCATTTTATTACACCCATTTTGACCAATGTTAGATAGCATCTATTACTTCACGTAGAAGACTTAGGATAACAAATTTGCTGTAGAATTAGCACAAAAAAAGTACAACTTCACATAGGTACTAGTTTTTGGATGATGTGCGGAAATGCACAAAATAATCAATTTTCTTGTATATTTTTTTCTGTTTTTGCCTGTTTTTAAGTATGTTTGACAGTTAGTATCAATTCAAGTTTTTCAATAATCGCCAGGGCAACACGTTATCGTTCAAATGACACTAAATTTATCATTCTTTGACACTTATGTACTCAGATATTACAATTTTCTTACATGCACTAGCGTAATCGTAACGTAAAAATAAAAGTGGCTGCCATTTCAAGAGGGGTGAGGTAGGACATTGTAGGGGGTGGATTTGTCGATAAAAATAGCTGAAAAATACACCCCTTAAATATCAGTATGTCGTGACCAAACACATTGTATATATTTATGCCCACAAGGCTAATATTGTAAAACCAGGCGACCAACTCAAATATCAGTCCTATTCAGTATTTGACATTCCTTAAGCAAGTAATTGATTCCCACAGTTTCCTGTAATTAGTTGTGGAATTTTATGGTACGAAGTAATGAAGAATTTAACTTCATACTGCAACTCTATTTTCCTATTTACTCCTTGTAGTATCTCATAATTGGTGCTCCTACATGCCCATGCTCTTTTTAGTATCCTGAAATAATGATTGTCAATTTACCATGGACTCAACTACCGGTGTGAACTTAGCAGCCATCTTCCAGCAGACAATTTCCCGAAGATATCCGAACGATCAGTGGCGTCGGCCAGAATAAATAATATGCTCTTATAACACTAGTTGCGGTATACATACAAAATACAAGCAGAAACAATTACTGCCAGAATAAAGTAGCTGAGCAAACTACTAAAGCGGTAGCAGCCAAAAACCAGATATATAAAAAATCGATTTCAGCCCTTAAGGAGTGGGTGTCTCTTACGAAATGTATCTCGAAAAATTCCTTATATATTACAATTTATGGGCCAGATCAAATTTACTGAGCGAACTTCTAAAGGGCTAGCAGCCAAAAAGCAGATAATTAAAAAATCAATTTCAACCCGTACGGAATGGGTGTCCTCGATGAAATGTATCTAGAAAATTTAATCATATATTAAGACAATCTATGATCCACATTGAAATTACTGAGCAAACTTCTAAAAGGGTAGCAGTCAAAACCCAGATAATGAAGAATCGATTTCAATCTTTAGGGAATGGGTATCCTCGATGAAATGAATCTCAAAAAAATACACATATAATAAGACACTTTATGGGATAGTTTGAATTTACTGAGCGAACTTCTAAAAGGGTAGCAGCCAATCAGCAGATAATCAAAAAATCGATTTCAACCCATAGGGAATGTGTATGCTCGACGAAATGTATCTCGAAAAATTACTCATATATTAAGACAATTTATGGGGTGGGTCAAATTTACTGAGCGAACTTCTAAAGGGGTAGCAGCCAAAATGCAGTTATTTGAAAAATCGATTACCACCCTTAGGGAATGAGTTTCCTCGATGAAATGTATCTCGAAAAGTTACTCATATATTATGACAACTGATGGCCAGTTACAATTTACTGAGTGAACTTTTAAAGGGGTAGCAGCCACAACCCAGGTAAATAAAAAATACTCATTTATAAAGACAATTTATGGGCCAGTTCAAATTTACTGTGCGCAATCGGTAGCAGCCAAAACCCAGATAACGAAAAATCGATTTCAACACTTAGGGAATGGGTGTGCTCCATGAAATGTATCTGGAAAAATTACTCAAATAATAAGACAATTTATGGGCTAGTTCGAATTTACTGAGGGCAATTCTAAAGGGGTAGCAGTCAAAAAGCAGATAATTGAAAAATCGATTTCAACCCTTTGGGAATGAGTTTCCTCGATAAAATGTATCTCGAAAGATTACTCATATATTATGACAACTGATGGGCCAGTTACAATTTACTGAGCTCAGTAAATTAGAACTAGCCCATAAATTATCTTTAAATGTGAGTAATTTTTCGAGATACATTTCATCGGGGACACCCATTCCCTAAGGGTTGAAGTCGATTTTATAATTATTATAATTATCTGCTTTTTAAATGCTACCTCTTTATAAGTTCGCTCAGTAAATCGGAACTGGTCCATTGGTTGTCATAATATATGGGTTAGTTTTCGAGATACATTGCACCCTCAACACAAATTTCCTAAGGGTTGAAATCGATTTTTTATTATCTGGTTTTTGGCTGATACCCCTTTAGAAGTTCGCTCAGTAAATTTGAACTGGCTCAAAACTTGTCTTGATGTATGAGTAATTTTTTGAAATACATTTCATCGAGGATCCCCATTTTCTAAGGGTTGAAATCGATTTTTTTATTAACTGGGTTATGGCTGCTACCCCTTTAGAGGTTCGCTCAATAAATTTGAACTGCCCCATAGATTGTCTTGATATATGTGTAATTTTTCGAGATACATG